GAGACAGCTGCTGGTTTACTAAACCCTCAAGCAATCCCCTCCCTGGACACTCAGAGGAACCCCACCTTTGCTCAGTGTACGGCTGGATCTTTTGCACAGTGATGTCGGAGTCGAGGACCCCCAGCAGAACGCCGATCTGTCGGATGAACATACCCTTCTGCCTCTCAGTCAGCTGGCTGACGTTAACATCCAGAATTATCTCCACAAGGTTATTTTTCCTAGGATCTAGTGAGAATGTAGATAGCACACATCTTTAGAACTTCTATTCAACAGTCTGGGTACAAGTCAGGTTTCTAGTATCTTTCCAGAATGTTTCTGCTTTGAACATAGAATCAAAGAATTGCACTGTAGGAAGGGATATAAGCCTACAACTTTCACAGGCAATGGCAATTAGTTAAGAGTCAGCCCCCAAGAACCATGTGAAAATACGATCACGCTCCCCAAAACTTTTGACTTTTACAGTAATGGCAATTAGTTAAGAGCCAGCCCCCAAGAACCATGTGAAAATACAATCACGCTCCCCAAAACTTTTGACTTTTACAGTTCTGAGCTGGACTAGACTACACATTTTAATCTCAGCACACTCTATCCAGACCGAGAGCTTGCTAGTGCACTGTAGGCAAACATGGTACAGCACAAAATCCAGACTCACCAGGTTTGACTTCCACTGTGGTCCTCTCCACATCACTTTCTCCTTTGGCGTCTGTTACTTTGAGGTGGAATGTGTAGGTCCCTTCTACCAGATTGGACAGGACGAGGACAGGATGATGGTCTGAATTATTTAAGACTTCCTGGAAGGCAGACCAAAATAAGAATCAAGAAAAAAAGGATCAAACTAGCATGATGTAGCATCACACTTAAGGATATCACTACAAGGTAACAGGTGCAACAACCAGCTTTACACTTCAGTCAGTGCTCCCTCTCCCTGACTTTTGTGATGCTGCAGACTGCCATTCAAAAGAGAAACCTCACCCCAGCTGCAGGGCTCCCCTCATCCCGGGTCCACAAGTAGCTGACAATTCCCTTATCATCAGAGGACTTCGATCCATCCAACTCAGCTGTATTTGTGGGCAAGGTGATGACAACGTTACCAGCAATCTTTGCAACTGGTGGCTTGTTTATCTCTAAGCAAACAGAAAGAAAGCAGGTGGAGAAAAGTCTTGTAACGCCCAACCAAAAACTACTGCATTAGACACCCACTGTAACCCAGAAATCCCCATCTAACCCTGGGGGAAGAGAAGGGAAATCACACACTGCAGGATTCAGCTGAAGATACTGTTCCTCCAGAAAAGGGTAGGCCCTTGACTTAGAGGAGGTCATTTAGGTGCCCTCCACATTATTTTTCACCCATTTCCTTACTCTCACTGTGCCTCTGAACACAGGTTTTGCTGAACTGCTCAAAGATAACCGGTGTCCCAGGCAGCTCTGCTCATGGCTGGACATACCTTCTTTGACAATGACGTTGACCGAGCTTTGGCTCTGCAAGTTCCTCTCATCTTTAACTGTCAGAGTAAACTCGTACGTCCCAACTTGAAGGCCTGTTACAGTGGCAATGCTACTGTTGGCATTATCCAGTTTGACACCATCTGGGCCCCTAACCAAAGCAAGAGAGGACCAGTTTAAACTTTGCATAGACCACGGGTGCTGGCCTCACACCAAACAGGAGGCTCAAGCTCAAGCAGTTTATGGGGATGCCAACAGACAGCTGTCTGGAAACACAGAGTCCATGACAAAAAGCAAAATTACTTTCTCCAGTTACAGCAAGATAATCAAAAGAGTAAGTGCAGCATTCAGAACAAAAAAGCATAATTTCTGGTGGTTTAGTGTTTTGGTTATTTTTAAACCAGGGGAGCACTGATACCAGCATTTAAGTACAGTTTACAAAAAGTGATACTTTCAGCAAAATTGGCTTGTGAACTGCACAATAAGCCATTTTTTTTTGAGAAAACATATAGAGCAAAAATAGTTCCTTAATTTATAAGAGCTTTGCACAGACTTTGCATTAGCAAGCAGGAAAAGCTACTGCAAGTTGCTCATAGGCTTTTTCCTGAACTCCCTAAAGCACTTCAGGGAATTTAGAGTCTGAAGGGAAGTATGACAAGGAGAACAGGACTGCCTCATTCAAACACACTGCGAAAGCATCAATTTAGAAGGCCCTGCTGTTGTCTGACTACAAGGGTCAGTCCCTTCATAAGACCAAGACCACACCACGCTGCTGTGAATCCAACATGGTTGGTCTCCTTTACAAGGCACAACCACGCTGAGGATGGGAGAGATGAGGATGGGCTTAGAGATGAAGGCTGAAACACAACTCCACCTCTCTCTGATTACACATAAACCCTTGTCTCGCTCTAGACACCAGTAAAGCTTGTCCAGCCCAACGTGACCAGGATTTAACACAAGGGAGGTATGTGGGGGTGTGTCTTGTGTGTCAGGAAGAGGATACACACCGTGTTTGCTCCCAAAGAAAGGAGACAATCTTCTGGTCATCTGAGCTCTTGCTGCCATCTAGAGTGGTGCTGTCCACAGGAAGAGTTAATTCTTTATCTGGACCAGCATCCGCCTTTGGGGGCTTATTGTTCTCTGAAACAGGATGCAATACTTTTCACACACATGTCATAAAAAGGTGGAGCTTAAAACTCCAGCATGAAGAATTTTCTCCATGATCCCTAGCATGTTTCTTGCCTACTATCTCAAGCTGGTATTCAGAGAAAGTGAGGTTAAACGCAGTTAAGAGTTCAGATGAGTGTTTCATTCACACATCTGGAATAAAATGGGAATGAAATCTAGGAATTCTGGTATTTGCTGTCATTCTCTAAGTACTACTCCACTTTTCCTGCTCCTGTTCCAGGCCCTAGCACCGTGGGCACATACAGCCACTTGAAAATACAATCCTGCCATTATGGTGGGAAAACGTCAATTAGACTACATTGTGTGAAATGAGAACAGCCTAGAGAGGCAATATTCCTAGAAACTTGTGTTTATCAGCAATACACCAGCTCAGAATGGTCCTAAATTAGAGCAGCTTTTCCAAAAGCAGGACAAAGCTACCACAATCTGTCTGTTGACAGATTGATGCCCACCTCTAACTCCTGGCATGGAAGTGGCAAAAGCAGCTAAAAGCAGCTTACCTGGCTGGACTATCACAGTGACCTCTGCAGTGGACTGGTGCCCAGCAGAATCAGTCACTATGAGCTGGTAAGTGTAATCACCTTCTTGCATTGCAGAGAGCTGTAAGACCGGTGTCCTCACTCCCTTTGAGAAAACATATTCATGTATTAAAAAGAATCCTTACACAGATGATGACAGACCAGAAGACTTTGCTTCTAAAACAACTATTTTCAGCAGATTTTAGGGGTTTATTACCAACTCCTGCTATGGGGCCAGACGCCTGCATCACTTCAGCATGCAAGGCACCTACAGCAAAGTCATGCACAGCAACAAGGACACTGTTGTGGAATGTAACGAGAGGAACGCCACAGAGGTGTTCAGACCTTTGGAGATCCCATAGTCAGCAACTCAGGCAGAACCTCTGGTGCTGCCTGCATAAATCAAACACGTTGTGAATCTGATTCATGGACCTTCTTATTCCATAAATTTGACAGTAGTAATAATCTTTAAAAGAAAAATGATGACATGGAAACAAGTTCCAGCTTTTACTATTTAGGACTGAGGAGTGTCTGGCCAGTATCAGCAAAGTTTAGGCTCCAAGGTTCAACACAGGAAATCCCGTCCATTGTGTTTGCCCAGCTTAGGAAATGCATGACCTGGCACAATGGGTTATCCTGGGCATCTAAATCCCATTCTGACTGACAGTTACCTAGAAGATCATACAGTCTGGCTTCCACACCTGCCGACAGCACTTAAGCATCCCTATTACACCATCACTGATTTAGCTATCACTGATGTTCTGAGGAGTCAGCAACTGAACGGAGAAAGAACACGCTTCCCTAGCAGCCACATAAAGTGAGACACATGGGTGTGATCAAGTTGTGCTGATACCTGCTGTATGGGACACCAGAATCCAAAGCCATCAAGTTCTCATCTCTCTCAATCCTCTACTCTTCAGCAGTGTTTAAGACTGCATTGCTCAAGACAGGACACAGGATGCCAGTGAAAACCTGTGGCTCAACTGCTGCACCAGCTTCATGTGGATTTAGTTTTAAGAATATACTTATCACATGCTTGCACTGTAGGATTATTAGAGACAGCCACAACGCCAATACCACCTTCATGTGGATTTAGTTTTAAGTATATACTTAACCATCACATGCTTGCACTGTAGGATTATTAGAGATATTTGCCAAGAGTCGATTAAACATGGTTTGATTACAGGAAAAAAGCCAGCTAGTCAGTAATCCAGGTTGAGTACCAGAGACCTGCACTGACCTGCATCTCCATCACCTTCCCTTTGCTGTTAGGGCTGAGCAGCCACTCGTAGCTGACGATGCTGTGATCATCGGTGCTCTGATTCCCATAGAGGGTGATGGAGTTCTGAGGCAGGGTGATCACTTGGTTCGGGCCTGCGTTTGCCACTGGAGGATAATCCACCGCTTTGTTCACAGTCAAGTTCGCAGTGGTGGAGTTGCTGGCACCATCTGAGTCCACTACTGTTAGACTGAAGGCGAGGAGGGAAGAGGGGGGAATGAAAGCAGTGAAGAGTCATGATTATCAGAGCTGAATACAAAACACTGGGTGGAGTGATGCGAAAGAAGAGTTAGAAATTTAAGACACATAAGGACAGGATAGTAATTTTTTTCAGGAGTGGAAAAAAACCTACAGTTTGAGGCAACTGTGCTTTTTCTGAATAGAATCTTCCCCAAATGCCCAATTATCAGCCTTAAAGCAATGCAAGAAATTCAAGTCACACCCACCTCTCACTTGAGTGAGAGGAGTTCCACGATAAAACCGTGCCAGCGAGAGATGCTCAGCTTTCACACACACAGTTGTGATGGAAGAGACCTCCCTGAGCACGACACCGCCTCCCACCAGGAGGCGTTCACTAACACAAACACACAAGTTCATTACTAATCCACACCTGGCCTGAACACAGGTAATGCCTCCTCAGGTAGGTCAGTGCTAAATCTAGATCTGAACAACAACCTGATAAGTTCATATATCAACTGTTTAAGAGGAAAACAGTGTTCAGTTACAGGTACTCAGGTTTATTCTATTTTAAATAGATCTGCTGATGCAGTGCATGGACATCACACCAAAATGCAGACCAAAGGAAAAACACAGAACAAACTTAAAGTAAAATCAGCCACTATCTATTACTCAGGTACGTGCATAAAACCATTAGGCTTCATTCACTTATCTGGGACAAACACATTGCATTTAAAAACTGGATTTAAAGGCTGCATTTCTTCCTAAGCCTTTACCCAAACAGTTTAGATTTGACATTTCGAGAGACATTTTGAAGCGCTGGCAGACCATTCGTTCCCTTCTGCCATCATCTTAAACCAGTGCTACAACTTAAGAATAAGAAGTAGCTGGATAGCTTATCTCTTCTGAAGTGAAAAGCTATGAAACCACCTGAAAGTTTAGGAGTGGGGAGAGAGGGTACATCACAAAACAGAGTTCTCTCCCTGCTGAGGGTTGGTTTGGTTTTTGGGGTGGTTTTTTGTTTGGAGTTTTTAGTTTTGGTTTGTTTTTTTTTGTTTGTTTTTTGTTTTTTTAAACCAGACTAACATTTCAAGCATCTTCTACATTTTACTCTTAAGGGATGAAAACTGATCAACTTTTCCAGGTATGACCTACCTGAAGGTGTAGTTCCCGGGTACCAGGTTGGTCAGCTTCAATACGGCAGTATCACTAGAAACCTTTTCCTCCCGCAAGGGGCCCTTCAGCTCCTCCCAGTGATAGCTGACAATTTTATCATCATCAGTGCTTTCTGTTTCAATTACGGAAGAAAACACAAATACAAGGAGTTGGAAAACGCGGCCTCATGAACCCCAGATGTTCAGTCCCCTACTTCAGTACTGGGTTTAGTGGGCAAGGGTGGTTCTGGTCCAAGCCCAGAGGTCTCTATTACACTCAGATACCCAAACTGTGTACTCTCCTCTACCCTATTTCACAGATATACTCGAACGCCCTTAATCCCAGGTTTGAATGCATACTGAAAGAAGACAAAAACACCCAAAACAAAACACTAACAAAATAATTCCAGTTGGGAGTATGACAACTTGAGCATATTTAAAGAAAATCCTGAAAAGATCTAGTGAGGGCCACGATCAGTAAAGGTGACGTGTTGGCTAACTAACACATTTGAAGCTTAACACAAGAGGCCACTAACTTTGACTGACAGTTGTGTTTTTTATTCTAAGCAGCAACCTCTAGAGCTCTTCCTTTTTTAGGAGATTGGCTCAGGCCAGTGCCCTTCAAAAGGGAAGATGCAGAGGTGCTGTCACATGCGTATTCCCCTCTCCTGGCAAGACAGGGTGATTCTTTTCACTGAAGCGTGTTTGATAGTGTCACAGCCAGTTCCTCTTCGACTTTATCCAAAGGGCAGCCCAGAACCAAGCACACAGAACCCTGGCTTGCTAGACTACTGCAGTTAAAACAGCAGGTACTCACGGCTGCCATCAATGACAGTTGAAATGGTTGGCAGTGAAATCTCCTGGAACTGTGGGGACACGATGGCAACAGGAGGCTGATTCACCCGAGGCTCTGCAACAACAACCCAGCTGTTACAATCACTCCTACAGGCAGATCACAACAAAAAGCCCTGGCCAAGGAACTCTGCAAAACTACTCTGCCCTTGTGCGCCAGGAGTAGCAAGCAGAACACATATTGCACATCCTCTTCCCTCTCCCCAGCCCTGTCTACCCCCTCAGTCCTGCAGTCAGCGAGTCCAGAAGAGTCCAAAGTGTGGAGGTGCTGTGCCACACAGCTCCAAGAGAGTCACTGACCAGACTGGCTGCAGAAAACAGCACAATCAACGACAGCGATTCATGCTTTCAGCAGTTATACACCAATTCGGGGAAACAGTGCCAACAAAAGGGATTTAAAAAAAACAAGGAGGTGAACTGCCACTACACTAACACTCTAGAAATGGCTGCACTGCATCAGTTCTCCCATACTGGGTCAAGCATTCAAGCACAGACCATTCTAACAGAGCAGCACCTAGAGCTTCTTGCCAAAGTTTGGCTGCTGCTCCAAAAAATGAATGATTTTGATGCATGCTGCCAGCTGCAGATTCACTGCTTATAAGGAAATGATCAGCAACAGCATCCAGAAGGCCAGCCACATGCTCTTGCTAATTTAGGGAGTGCAAGAGGACTTCCTTGCCCACAAAGGTTGTAGAAAAAGTCTTGCTGAAGTGTGCAAAGTAAAGTTTCTTTTGCACAAAAGGAGATGCAGAACCCGTGGTCACCTCTTTCCATGGGCCATCTGAAAAGTGAGACGTGGTGAGACAGTCAGCACGGGCGACTGTATCTACACCAGCTCATCTGCAAACCGTGTCTTACGGCAAGGAATGAGATTGGACTTACCCTGCCTGTGGCTGGGAACGATATTCTTTCCTGGACAGGGAAAAAAAGAACCTCCAAAGGAGCTTCAAAGCTCTGGTGTCCCTTCATTTTTTGCTCCTGCTGCCATAAGCATTTTACTCAGTTATGACCAGTTTTTATTGAAGCAGAGGCCTTCCAGGGTGAGGCATTTGCTAAGCACTTTTGCATCAGTATTCCAGCTCTTTGATTGAGTGGCTGGCCTGTATGCAGGATAGCAGAAATAGCTGTGTGCATTAGCAACAGTGTCACATCTCAGGAAATGGCTGAATACACACACACACACACTGAGTTCACAACACAATCAGTTTTCACTCATTGTTTCACGTTAAACCAGGGTCCACTCAAATAAGCCAAACATCATGACACAGGTATCACGGCTTGTCAGAGACAGACGAGGTTAAGAAAAGACACAATTCCACCAACTCACTTGGATTCACTGTCACATTCACGTAACCCTCTCCGCGGGCGTTTTCCCCATCAACGACGACTTTGAATTCATACAGACCGACAGTAAGCTGGAATTAGACACAAAAGATTGTTTTGGTCAGGAGCTATTAGGAGGTCAAGTTACTATGCTTTGTGTTTTAAGCTGCTAATGTGCTGCTGTGCCAGGCATTTATGCTTCAACCTACTCAGACACAGCAAAGGATGGTTTCCATGCCAAAATGGTGTTACGTATCTTTTAGTTTATGATGGCTACACAGAAACCAAAGACTAGCATTTCCTTCTACCACAGGTGCCACAGGATTGTCAGTCAAGCTTTATTTTCTAGTAACAATAGGTAAACAGAAGAGAAGTAACAGAGATTAGTTCAGGTTGTCTGGCCACAGGAATCTGTACTAGCAGATTGCATTGGAGATGAAAAAGGATGCATGTAAGAGAAGAAAATATCTTCTTGGGTGTTTTTACGAAGTATTTCTTCTCTTCCTTCTAGGTGACACGAGACAGGCAGTCAACCCTTCATCATTCACTG